CAATTTCGAGAAAAGACATTTGAATGATTTGAACACTGAATCCAAAAATAACGAAGAACGGGAGGCGGTCATATGGCGCGGTCACATTGCCATTGGGGCGCATGCGCTGTAGTTGCCACCCAAGCGCCTCCCATATCTCGACCAGATAACTCGTCCGGCTCACCGAACGAGCAGATTACCGTGGTTGATCTGTCTACAATGGAGCGCGCCCAGTGTAGTGGAGACTGCAAAGCCTCCCAAGTTCACCATTCTCCTCTTGTCCTCCGGCTTCGTTCTTGCGCTGAGTTCGCTTTGCACCCTTCAACTATTAGAATGACTGTAGAGTTTCTTTGGAGTGATTGTGTCACGATCATTTTGGAGCTGTGATACATCGCACTTCACAGCAACCTACAGTGGATGATAATAATTTCTATACGGGGTAAGTATTGTTCAGTTTCTTTTTTGTTCAGAAAACGGTGTGTTCAAGTTTCATTGTGGCTTCATCACCAGTGGTTTTTTTTGGATTTGCTCTTCGAAGCTTTGACATGAGCATTGAAGTTCCTTGATTTTCTGCTGTTTGATGAATGCGGGAGAACCAATCACCGTGTTTGAAATTTTGAAAATAATTAGCCAGCATTTGTTGATTTATGCGCGAAAGAAAGTGAAAATGGTCTTGGCGTGCGATTCTGACCACACAGAAATTGGAAGGATAGGGAGCTCCAAGGTGGATGTAAAAGTGGAAGCGAAGTTGATCACGCATCTTGAGGGTTCCTTCCCCTGCAAAATTGGCATTACTGTAAGCAGTACAAAAACCACACCACATGTCCCTATTGGGATAGAACCAAAGCGTTCGAGATACAACAGTTAGTTTTCCTGAACTCTTTGGACTCTCCTAATCGAGTAATTCATCTACTGTCGTTTGCTAATGTGTTATCTTCGATGTTTTCTCCTCAATCGTGATCCCATTCCACTGAGCGCTCCCCTCGTTGGGTAATGAGATACTTGTTTTCTGCTCTTGTGATTCAACTGTACTTTGCCGAAGGCATGTCTCGTCCCAACCTCGGTGTCCTTTTGACTTCCTTAGGCATATTATATGCAACATCGCACGTTTCATAGTTGCCTCAAGTAATAATTACTGCTGAGTGTAATTCTCAAAAGGTGAGGCAGGACATAGAAACTAACCAAAAATACTCAAAGAGGGATGAAGTTGAATATAACACCGGATAAGTTAGTGAAGGGAATCGTAAGCGGTGGCAAATTAACAAAAAAGGATGAGAAGTGAAGCTGCAGCGCAAAACTTCAAGTGAGCTGCAACCGTGATACTGTTTAGGTTTAGATGAAGGCAGCAAATAGGCCATTCTGAATGGATTACAAGAATGATTCCTTAGAACCGCCTAGTTTGGATGAACACAACACTTTCCAGTACACAGTTCACTGAACAAAAAAGAGTACTTACCCGTATAGGAATTGTTACCGTGCACTGCAAGTTGCTGGGAAGTGCAATGTATCACAGCTCCAAAATGATCGTGACACAATCACTTCGAAGTAACTCTACAGTCATTCCAATAGTTGAAGTGTGCAGAGCGAACTCAGCGCAAGAATGAAGCCGGAGGACGAGAGGAGAATGGTGAACTTGGGAGGCTTTGCAGTCCACTCTACACTGGCGCGCTCCATTGTAGACAGATCACCACGATAATCTGCTCGTTCGGTGAGCCGGACGAGTTATCTGGTCGAGATATGGGAGGCGCTTGGGTGGCAACTACAGCGCATGCGCCCCAATGGCAATGTGACCGCGCCATATGGACCGCCTCCACTGTGGTGTGGCCGAACTAGGACAGAAAGCGACTTTTTCGCGTTTCGCAGCGCGAAACATTGTTCGTTGCGGGAATCTCGGGTCCACTGATGATTCGCTGCGGGAACCTCGGGTCCACTGATGATCAGCGGTGGACCTGAGGTTCCCGCAGCGAAAAATGTTTCGCGCTGCGAAACGCGAAAAAGTCGCTTTCTGTCCTAGTGAACCACACCCAAGATTGAACGGCACCTATTCAACTATTACAACCTCAAAATCTTAAAATTTCAAGTTCTGCCGATTTGCTTCTGATTATGGAAATTACATTCAATTTTGGCGTTGGCGCCATCTGGCGCCAGAGCTGTTTTCACCAAATTAGCTGTAAACTTGTACACCAGGGCTACTTGGGTCGTAATTGCGACGTAACATTCATTATCGGCTCCTCCACTTTCTTCACGATTTGGGGCGCGGCCGCGGCGAGCGCGGACGAGTCGATAGTGCCCGCGAACTGTGGTGGTGATGCGTTTTCAAATTTACCCGCACAGTTCGCGGGCACGGTGCTAACTTAGTTGCAGGGGAACCACACGGCGGCGCGGCGCTCTGTTCTTCTGCTCCTATAAGGCTTGGTCCGCCGATGGCGCGTAAGCTCTACTACTTTCTGCACGATTTGGGGCGCGGCGAGCGCGGCCGAGTCGATAGTGCCCGCGAACTGTGTGGGTAAATTTGAAAACGCATCACCACCACAGTTCGCGGGCACTATCGACTCGTCCGCGCGGCCGCGCCCCAAATCGTGAAGAAAGTGGGGGAGCCTGGCGCGTATTTCGAAACTGCACGTGGCGACGAAATAGTAACTGCCTCCTTGGACTAAGCCCCAGAGGAGCAGACGAACAGAGCGCCGCGCCGTCACGTGCCCCCCCCCCCCAACTAATTTGGCACCGCGGGCACTATCTACTCAGCCACGCTAGCCGCGGCCGCGCCTCAAATCGCGAAGAAAGTGGGGGGAGCCGCGCCTATCGCGATCCGGATTATTCCTTTGGGGAGAGGAGGGCTCCGAGGTAAATAAGCCATTCACCCTGTGATCTCATACTTTTGCCGCACGATGCCTGGGTTACCCATCCTGGAGTCCCCCTTCCCCTAAGCCCAGTTTAGTCTAAGGCAATATGTACAACTCGACTCGTGATCGACCTCAAATAAACCCTGTATACAAGTTCACAGTGGATTTGGTAAAAGGAGCCCTGGCTGGCGCCAATTTGCGCCAACGCTGAAAATGAATGCCATTTCCGTAGTCAGTGCATTGAATTAGCCCGAAGAAAAGAAAAATTTTGAGATTTGGGGTTATACACTGCGTCCCATAATTATACGTCCACCTAAGAATTTCCCAAAATCTCACAGAATATACAGATGTTTCGAAAAAAGTCTCCTATGTGACAATGTATCGCATATAAATACGCAATTGCCTATGAACATCAATTTTCTATTTGAGATCACAGGAATTTTTTCCAATAATTTTTGTGTAAAAGGCCACTCAGCCGACGTCCCAAAATTATACGTCCACCTCACGTTTATCGATTACTTTTCACTTCTGTTCCACGAAACTTTTTCATTGTGGTAACACTTCACTTCTTAAGGGGACAGCATAATAAAAACTGCTGTTGGATTTTGAAAAGGAGGTTGTCGCAAAAACTGTTGAACAACGCAATCGCGCCAGATTTGGACCAAATTCACGCCAAGCTCAAGAATTTTCTTCAGGGGTTTCACATGATATGGAGTTCAGAAGAGCTCTAAAGGTCTCTCATTACTTTTCGATGGAAACAAAGGCCGTGTCACAAAAACATCCACTTTCATCCAACGGTGCTCTGTCATCGAATCTTCTTGAGAACTTTATGCCTCAACAGACTTTTGTTTCATGCATGTAAAGGAATCCCAAGATCATTCTTGATTGGAAAATGTGAAAGACGTTCATTTGTGGCAAGGAATCGTGGCGAAAACTGGGCTGATTTTTGCATGAAGGTGCAGCCGAGCCGACTGAAGTAAGGTTCGCTTCTGCTCGATATGTTTTAGCATTTGTTTGTTTCTCTTCTCACGTTTACCTGTTTCTCTTGTGAAACGGCCTTGGTTTCCTTCGAAAAGTAATGAGAGACCTTTAAAGCTCTTCTGAACTCCATATCATGTAAAACCCCTGAAAAATTCTTGAGCTTGGCGTGAATTTGGTCCAAATCTGGTGCGATTGCGTTGTTCAACAGTTTTTGCGACAACCTCCCTTTTCAAAATCCAACAGCAGTTTTTATTATGCTGTCCCCTTAAGAAGTGAAGTGTTACCACAATGAAAAAGTTTCGTGGAACAGAAGTGAAAAGTAATCGATAAACGTGAGGTGGACGTATAATTTTGGGACGTCGGCTGAGTGGCCTTTTACACAAAAATTATTGAAAAAAATTCCTGTGATCTCAAATAGAAAATTGATGTTCATAGGCAATTTCGTATTTATATTGATACATTGTCACATTAGGAGACTTTTTTCGAAACATCTGTATTTGTGAGATTTTGGGAAATTCTTAGGTGGACGTATAATTATGGGACGCAGTGTAGTTAGTTGAATAGTGCCAATTGGATCAGCGGTACAGAGCGACAAGAAATACGAGTAAAATGCATGTCGTGCACTGTCCAGAGCCTCAATCAAACTACAGACTGCAACCAGCTAGTTAACCCAATCCTACACGGATTTCGAGACTACATGATCATTCAAATAGCGTCCAGCATACTGCCTTGTTTCATTGTTACCGCGAGCTTACATACTCCAACTTTTGCGACACAGTGAGTGGCACACATAACCTAGAGCCCCCGCCCCTAGGCTAAGGCCCGTACCCGTGCCTTCAAAAATTCATGGCGAAGCGAAAAGCTAAGAAATGGAGCGAAAACCATAGTACGACAAGCGAATACAATTGAACTGCCGCTTACCACACGCAAAGAGCTGCGAGAAAAACGACCATGAACTTAAGCTTGTCAAAAATGATAATTAGACTGAAACTAAGTTCATGAGCACGTTTCAGATCTGCACAAGGAAGGATAACGCACGAAAAATGGCAAATTGGGAATGAAATGATCAATTGGACCAGACTGAAGACCTCAACCCCAATAAGGGAATATTACCGAGATTACTCACACCTTAACTTACTTGCACTTACGATAGGGCTATTAAAATGCAAACAGCTGCAAAAAATTAAGAGCGCCAACATCTCGTCCAAAATACTGTCGTACTTCCATTCTGTGCAAGACCTTGCAGTATGCCAATTCACGCCACGTAGCGCGTCCATTTTCTAGATACCGTAGTTTTCAACAACTCCGCCCACATTATCGTAACCCCCGAGTTCTTGATCAATGCTACATATGCGTCGGTCAGCGTTTAGGCTTGCTCAGCTAGTGTTCGCATCCCGACCGAATTTATGCCGGATGAACGTGGAGCGTTTCAGAAGCACAGTTTGTCGTTTTCAATCACACTGCTGCATTTCTGGCTGTACTGTTTTCTATTTTCAGGCTTATCGAACAATTTCCTTTCTGAGTGCTCACTTTTCACATGTATTTTTTAAAATTTCTCTTGAGAAGTCATTTAAATCATATCGTTATAACAACGTACGCGGATGGTATAATAAGAACGTTCCAGTAATTCTTTCAGACATGGCCCCAAAGCAGCGTATGACCGTTGCCAATTCGCAATTCAGTAAAAACGTCGTGAACCGCGGAAACGTTGCCAAATCCCTGGTAAGCTTTCCTATCGTTACTGCTTCTTATCATTGAGCTATGTAGTTTTATGAGTTTTACGGTCGTCATGAATAGCAGTTTCCACGATATTCCAGTTAAGCAGAGGTCACTTCGCTTTCCTGTCATAGCATTTGCACACTTCTTTGTTGCGCTATCTTTTCAAACCACTATAAGTATGCTCGACTTACGTTAGAGAAATAAGCGATGATTCCTTTTGAGGAAAACGGTTTCAAAGCCCCAAGTGTGGTTGGGTGGTGTGGCCATCGTGGCGCGGAACACTAAGGGCCTTGAAGCCTATGACAAGCATTCACATACTCATACTTGCTTTTTCTCTTATAGTGAGAGCAGAATGGTTCACCCAGCTTCATGCCCTGTGAAAAAGTGGGTTACTGTTGCTGGGATGAACTATTGCGCCTTGATGCCTTCCTGAAGTACGCTTATGCTTGCCCTTTCAAAACGAAATTTCCTCCAACTTACGGCCTCCTCTAATATGTTATTGAATCCCAAAATGTGTTAGGCTGTCCATTAAATAATTTTTCATATGCGTTTTTTTTATCATGCGCCATTCTAAAACTATTCATTTGCTCTACAAACTATTTGTTTCGCTTCGATCTTCGGTAAATAACTGAATTTTAAGCCTACAAGATGGCAAGTCCAATCACTAAAATTAGCCAACTGACAACTAAGTCAAACTGTATTTATCATTATAAGAAGTCGATCATTGATGTATCTAGCCACGACTTCTAAACATTCCGCTGTTGGGTCGTCTAAATAGACGTATGCATATTATTCGTATTCGTACTCTTAATCTTTTCCATATTGAAATTTCGCCAGAACTTGATGTTAATCGCTATCTTGTTGAACCCACACGGGAAAGCTTGCTAAGCATTGGAGAAGTGGCATAATATTCAGAAGCCTAGAGTACAGGGCATGTCACCAATTGATTTGGTTATCTTCTTAGTGATTGCAATTTTTTGAAGTAGTGTCGTCATCCTCGGCGTCTTAACACCTTATTTCGTACCTCTAAAATTCGACATATCACAGAGAGTAAGCGATTTCATATTTTCACGGCACTCAAACGAAAAAAAGACGCTACTTCTAACAAAATAATATAGAAAAATATCTAGAAGTGGTTGTAGTTGATACGGGGTCCTCAGTGATTTAGGGATTTTGATAGCAAATCAAATTTGATTCAATTGTCAGGCTACTTTTCGTGAAATTCTATCCCTTCACAACGAATATGGAAGAGAAACACAGTTTTGCATAGAAATAGATCCTTGTCAATTGGTACATGCTTTCGATTTAAGAAAAAAAGCGACTTTACTTATCGGACAACTTATAACTTGTCTGTGTTGTAGTATTATTCCTTATACTTTCCTCCTAATCAGACAGCTCTGTATAGGAATTCACATGATAATAATTCCTTTCTGAGTACGGCGACCCCAGCTTTTATCATGGATTAGAGGTTTTGGAAAATGTTATCAGACCATGAGTGCTGCAACGGGTGTCTACCAGAGTGGTGTAGATCCTTGGCCGGTTGAGAGCAGCCCGATTGTTTTCGCTATTTTATTAGCGTACTAGTTTCTTTCCAGTTGCTCACAGCCATAGAGGCATTTTTCGTAACAATTCATCACTGAAATTGTTCTTGTCATGCGTAACTCATCGGGGGTTCCTATAGAGCCGCAAGAGAGAAAACCACGTTTTCTCTCTGTTTCTGTGTTCCCTGTCATGCATTCGAATTGTGGCGTGCTTACACAGATGTGTGTGATCAACTGACTGTATTCAGAAACCACAAGAAGACAAGTATCCGGCCGCTCCATGGCTCATCGGACTTTTTGTGTTCGTGGTGTGTGGGTCAGGTATGTTCAGACGTTGTATTTACATGATCACTTTATCAATCAATCATAGCTTAAAAAATGGTCTTCATGGTTCTGCTGCTAGAGGACCCCCAATAACTCGACTGACAAATTATATGGCACTTTCTTGGGCGCTTTTGTCCTAACCCTTTGGCGACAATGGCACCCACCGGTGGGTGCCACTATGACCGTCGCGTGGGACAATGGCACCCAATGGTGGGTGCCACCCTAAAATTTTCTTCTTTACCCATTTAAAACATTTTCAACATATCAGTAATTATAAGCAAGCTCCGTTACGCCTATGTTTAGCATATTTGCAGAAATGTTTGTTACTAGCTAATTTTATGAAGTTTTAGGATATGGCACTTCGCTCGGCGATGTATTAACTAGTGTTTTACATTATTAAGCTTAAGGTGAATTACAGATCAGGACCTCTACGTCTTTTCACAGTCTTAAGACACAAGGAGGAGTTTGAACTATATCAAAAATTCTACTGTACATTTGAATTTCTAGAGTTTTCAAACACCATCCCTTTGAAATCCGAGATTTCTTTCCAAACTTCCACTTCTAATTCCAACAATACATGATCATAAAGCTTAAGACTGCAGTCATATTTTGTTTATTGTCATAGTCAAAATTTTGATAGAAAAACTGCTTTTAGGGACAATTTTGCCCCATTTTGTGCGAGAGTTGGGCGCGCCAAAAAGAGGCGTGGTCCCACGAGCACGCTACGTGCAAATCCGCATTGTCGTCAAAGGGTTAAGGGGGACATTGGAGTGATTGGGCCACTGATGAACTCGCGACCAGGGTCAACCCTATCGTTGTTACTTTTTGAAATTTTTTACGACCCCCCTCCCCCAAGGTGGATTTGATACGACCCCCTTTTCGACACCTCGACCACCATCATCCTCTCTATAGTATTTAATTCTGATACCACTCAACCCACCAAACTCCGCCCACTTTTTCCTCCAAAAATGCCGTCGAGCGGGGGGGGGGGAGGGGGGCTGAAACAGTAAAAATTTCCTATATCTCCGCCATTTTACTCTACTTCTACCGGCTTTTACCAGATTTTTTTCCTGCGCCCTCAACTCACCCAACCTACCTACCCATAAAAACTTCAGTTTCACCTCAAACTCACATGTGATTTCAAGCGACTGAAGTGGGTACGACCCCCCTCCTACAAACTCAACCAGGTACGACCCCCCCCGTTGTTACTCGTAACAACGTAGGGTTGACCCTGTCGGGACTAAGCTTTAGGGAGGGGAAAGGATTTATGAGCAACCATTGTTCTCCCTTGTGTTCCACTCCCAGTCCTGGGCTTAGTCCTAGTGTCACCTAACCACCGTTTTTGGAATGCCCGGTTTGAATGTCCTCCTAAGAACATGAGCGCCCTTTCTTAATTTCTTCATGCTGGTTTATTTCAGTTTTCCTCTTTTAGCTCACTTAGAACAATCAAACGCTTATGGGTGAGAATGGTTAATAAATTCATTTGCCTTAGAGATCTGTCGATCTTCGAGATGATAAAGTCCATAAATTTAAAAGGCTTCGAGACAATTTGTCTTTTTATAATTGCCAATTTGCCTTAGTTGGCTTTCATTTGGAATCGTAGCAGCTTGCAAATCCATACGAATTGTTCGGTCTTTAGAATAACCTACAGAGCTAGTTTTTTATTTAGCTCAGTGTTTTGTCTTCTGTAGAAGTTGAGCGCATGGGAAGTGTAAAGGGCTAGTTCTGCATGGTCTAGGATAGTACGACCTGTGCAGGTGATAGCGTCCCGTGCATATAACTATCTATGATCATAACTATCTTTCAAAGTGCGACATGTAAGGGCGGATGCTAAGGCGCAGTAATGAAATCGGAGTAGGTTCACTCATACGCAAACCAAACTTCGGAAGGGAAAGTAAAATCTCTGTGATTTCGCGATTCTCTTATATTCAATCGCAACACTTTCTTAACATTTACTTTTTCTGCAACTCCATTTTCACTTCTTATGTATCTGTTTGCAGCCATTTTCGAGATCATAAGATACGTCAAAATGGGATGGTAAACTTGAAGTGTCACTTGGCTTATTCCACACCATCATCCTCATGCCGCAAAATTCAAGGCTATTTACGAAATGTGCCGGTCAACATGTGATAGTTAATTCATTGTATTTATTGAACCTATTGCATTGGCTTCGTCTTCGCTTCCAGAATTGTTTTATTGACGTATGAATTGTTGTTATCATGGTTAAAACAGTTTTAACGGGAACGAGGAGTGTTTAAAAGAAAAAGGTAAAAAAGTAATCCCAAGGTGAGAACACAAAAATTTCTGCACTCATCGTACTTCCTACGCTTGCTATTGCTATACTCTGTTGCACAAACTTGTATGAATCGATACACGTACGCTTTCTTAGATTTGGTTATTTGAGTTGCATCTTCTCTTTAATACAACATTTACTAATGTCTACAAACAGAGAATATTTATTTTCGTTCTTTCTGGCAAAACTGTGCTTTTTTTTTATTCACAATTTTATGTCAGTGGTGATAAGTATGTCTCTTTCTAGAGTGAATATTTATCTTTATCTTGTGTTCGCGTCTGCCTTGAAAAACAGATCGTTTTGGGTCAACCAACCTGCATCTGCTCATCGACCGAATGAAACTATTCTTCATCAGCAATAGGTTCGCTGCGGAACTGCATAACCGCGACAAGGGTGTTAATATTGTACATATAATTTAAAAAGGCACGAAAATTTTGATTCCAAAGAGTCTTGAAAGTTTTTAAAACACCAAGATTTTCAAAATACAATCCAGAAGGATTTCTTTTCAAATTCGCAATTTCCTGCTGTGTGACACCTTCGCCAAGCATGTATTGGCTTCAGCCAAGGATAAAGCTACCCTTACGGAAGCTGCGCCCTTGGAAATGAACTGATTTTTGTGGATCATTCATTTCAACAGCGCGGCTCCCGTAATTGCAGGTTAATATTTGGCTGGGAAATATTAGGTTGGAAAGAAAGTCCTGCAACACTTTTTCAAATTTTTGATTTTAATTTTATCTTTTTTGTTTACAACTCCTGACCGGTCTTATATCTACCATGAGTGTCCACCACTTGTCTTCAACGCTCAGAAAATTTCTTGATGCTCCTTTGCCAAAACCCAGCGGAGTGCGGGTCGAGAAAGGAGGCGACCTCACTTTCGAGTTGGAGTTGATCGTCTAATTATTTCGTCATCAAGATGATGATTTAAGGTCCAGGATAGGTGGCAGTCATTTATAGCTCGACCAGGGGAATACGCTAAGAGAGGTAAGAAATCTTGCCGCAGCTCCAGAATTTCTTACCGGGCTCATTTCGGATCATGGTGATTCGCAATGTCATGAAAGAAATGAATATTGTCGCGGTACGAGGGCTCCTGACGAGCTGCCTCGGCCAGCTTCTGGAGTTCCGCAGCCTAGACCTCTACCTACACAATGGTGCCCATAACGAAGAATTTGTAGTGGAGCTTCCGTAAGAGCCCTACCTGTAATGGAGTGTGGGACGCTGCTGGCTTCTTATAAAAATATCAAAAGATCGAAAGCGCTGGTAAAGGTGAAACACGCTGTAGCGGTGAACGGCATGCCTATTGAAGCTATTGCAGATAGTGTCGGTCGTTGACACGAATCCATAGTTTTGGAGACATTTGTACTAGACAGTGACTCGGAGTACGGATTTACTAGTGGTCGAGGTTTTTTGAATTTTCTTGGATAACTACTGACTGCAGCACTTATATCCACCTCGTGGATTGAAGCCTCGAGAATGCTCTACCATTTGTTAGTCATAAATGTTACCTATGAATTTTTCAGAAAAAAAGAAAATTTTAGAAAGAGTGTTGCAGAACTTTCTTTCCAACCTAATACATCCCTGACTAAGGTGCGACACCGAAATATTGCGGAATATCTCAAGAGAATTCTTTTGGAGTTGTTCAGTGGAATTTAGATGTATTTGAAGCTGTTGTTTTGTGAGTTTTGGATTTTTCTAACAAAATTGGTGCCTCTTTGTGTTACAAGCGTTTAGGTCCTGATGGGGCTCTGTCACAGCACAGAATACTAAGTTATCCGTGCGTTGTTAAGCAAATGACGCAGAGTAACGTGAAAGTATAGTGTGATTGAAGTTTAGGCTGTTGAAGTATGATGGTCGCTTCGACTTAGTTACCGAAGGGGTTTACCTTGCAGAATAGCATGCAAATGGCTTATGACTGTAAAATTGTCACACCCGAAGGTCACAGCAGGTTTTCGCGAAGTTTGACCAAGATCTGATTCTACTGCTTCTTTTAGAACGTCTTCGCGCATTACCCTGTACTTCTTCTTCGAAGGTTCCATGTCGTGTTATTGTTCACGCAATACAGTGAAGAACAATGGCTTCAATATGGAGATCAAATCTGCTACTTGATCTACTCAAGTCATTTTTATCGGTCCAAGATGACAGAAAACTCAGCGTCACCATATGGGGCCATCTAATGTATACATACCAGCAATTGGAACTTCTTCTGAAACATTGCCTGTGGGGTCAACAGGTGGCTTGCCATGAAAGTGACATCTAATTTTGATCATCTGCTGCCAACGCCACAACTTAATTTTTCGATGTTTTCTTGCTAACCAGGAAAGGTCATTTGGTCAACCCGGCCATTTGAAATGAGATGTATATGTGTATACGCGCCTTGGGACGCTGAGCTCAAATATGTGTTCCTTATCTGCTGAACTCTTCTCTGAAAGGAATTATGAAGCAGAAAAGCGCAGGGGCTGTGGTCGAGGCTCACGAAAAAGAGGTCAGGGGATCAACTCCCTGGCGAGTTTGTTCTTTTGCCGTTTGCAGTAAGATAGCTAGGAAGACTCCTAACATCGCTAGTCCAACATGCTTGCGTATAGTTAACAGTACAAAGAATTTAAGGGCAATTAATAACGAACTTGGGCGGCATCGCTCCTCACTACTTTGGGCGCTTGTAGCGCAGGCGCCAGGCATTTTTGCTTCGAACAAGTATGATATTCGTAATCAGGGAGCCAGACTCTCCCTTTGAGCAAACTTCTAGCGAATTCTGAAATTTTGACCTAACCTCGAAAATTTGGGCAGTCACTTACTCACCGATCCACCAATCCATTACAAAAGGCTGGCACTTGGGTAGAATAACTTTTTAAAGGCCTCTCATACTGCAAACCCTTCCAACACTTTTCATAATAGACAAAAATTGTGTCTGGCTTGCCCGTCTGCATCATCCAAAGATCTGCAAAGCATTATTTCCTAATACAACACCTTCTCTCCCTTCCCCCGTCGTCCATGATTGGTCAACCCAAAAAAGTGGAGTTTGAGGAGTGGTAATCCCATCACTGCTCCGCTTTTTCTCAATTAGTTCATGACCTCAGATTTGGCGAAAAACTCAGGGGTAGTTTGATCCCCTGAATACGAATATCGTACCTACTTGCCACGGAAAAGCATAGCACCTGCACTACGGGCACCATGGGCACTCACAGACAAGTAGTGCTTAAAGTTTAAGAGGATCTGCTTGCAAACTCTTCGTAGATGTAGCGTCGGGCGACCGTTGATAAAATAACGGATTCAAAAAGGCTTTTCAGCCATGTTGGAAAAAAAGCAAAACACCAAACCCCGTAAGGGACCGAACCCCGACCCCTCCGTGAGAAGCAAGACCGCTACCAACTGCGCTACCGAAGCTCACCTCACCGGTGCCTCGGTTCTCCTTTCGATACTTTTATAATGCGGCTAACATGTGATTGCAGGCAAAACACTGAAAATCAAGGGCGGCAACAAAAACCCTCCGTAACTCCTTTCAGAGAAGAGTTCAGCAGATAATGAAAGCAGATTTGAGTTCAGCGTCTCATGCTGCGTACAGAAATGTGCACCTCATTTCATTTGGCCGGGTTGGCCTAATGACCTTTCCTGGTAAGTTGAATTATCCACAACTTGCTTGGAAAGTTCGCTCTCCACATTCCTGACCAATGTTCTTAACCCTCAAATTACAGAGGCCTCCATCCAATGTTTCATGTGAAGCTGAAAGCTTTTCCTAGTTGGATGCTACGTTCTCAGAAAAGGCTGTGCGCGAGGTGTGATGGCACTAGGCAGATATTCTCCCTTGTTGAAGTCGACGACCTAAATATATCAGTCAAAGATTTTCGATCGCCTTTCTTTGAAGAAAATTGGTAGCGAAGAAATAAGGCCGCTGGGAGATGAAGTGAACATCTCCATCGATACTGAAAGGTTCGTCTTTCGCAAGAGTGCACTACTACCGTTCAAGATTTCGAAGAGAGAGAGAGAAAAAATGAAAACGAGCAGCATTCATACAGTGCGTACCAATAAGTATGTGGACACCCTAGAATCGATTCTCAGGGGTCAGCTAAAGGCATGAAACCTTCACCATTCAACTCCTAGTGGTCGATAACCTACAATGACATTTTCGGCAAAAGATTTCGTTCTAAGTTTAGCGAACTATTTTTCATGGAAATTTTTTTCTTTGTATCAAAATTATGTGGACACCCTGAGGCAGATCAAGTTTTTGCATCGATTTCCTAACCTATTTTTACTTTTCCTTTCGTTACTTATTCTGGCATCATTCCTCTTCACGGCAAGCATTTTTCTAAAGAAGACCAAGCACAGATGTGGGGTCCTCATGTTGCTGAACCATTGCGAAATCGCACGTCAACCGGTCGTGCGTCCTCGTTTGTTGGGAAGAGATCCAGAATCCTGATGCTAAGCTCCCAACACTGATTGAGGGTCGTCTTCAATCGTTACTTGTTCAAAACAACACAAGAATAGCCTGTACTGTCTCAAAATTTCTTTGGTCTGCTATCCGCGTTCGCGCTTAAAATGACTTCCCCTTATAAAAAAGACCACTCGGTGTTCCATCAATCGAGTGAGCACACGACACGAGAGAAGATGAAGAAAGCTTCGTGTATGGATGCGCAGCACAGATTGGCAAGGTTGGAATTCCCGTCAAAAATAAGATCACAACATGGGACGTTGAACCCAGACAGACAGCTTCTCCGTAGTGTTAGTCCCGCGCAGTCGCAGGGTCCGCTGTCTTTATC